AAAAAAAAAAAAACAAAAAAAAACAAACAGAAATTCTTTTAGCCACTCTTTTAGGGTAAGTCTGCTGATAACAAATTATTTTTGTTCTCCTTCATCTAAGAATGTCTTGATTTCTCATTCATTTTATAAAGGTATTTTCAGTGGACATACTGTTCTGGATTGACAGGTTTCTTCTTTTAGTATTTGAAAAATGTGCCACTTCATTTTAGCTTTCATGATTTCTGATGGAAATTCTGCTGCTGGCTCGGCTCCTATAGCACAGTGGTTATGGTGCCAGCCACCTACCCCAAGGGTGGAGGGTTCAAACCCAGCCCAGGTCAGCTAAATAACAATGACAATTGCAACAAAAAATAGCCAGGCATTGTGGTGGGCGCTTGAAGTCCCAGCTACTTGGGAGGCTGAGGCAAGAGACTTGCTTAAGCTGAAGAGTTTGAGGTTGCTGGGAGCTGTGATGCTACGGCACTCAACTAAGGGTGACATAGTAAGACTCTAGTCTCAAAAAAAGAAAAAAAAAAAGAAAGAAAACTCTGCTGCCCTTTGGTTATTTTTACCCTATAGGTAAGGTGTTGGTTCTCTCTCTGCTTTCATGAGTTTTTATTTGTTCTTAGTTTCTAGAAATTTGATTATGCTATGTCTTAGAATAGATTTCTTTGGGTTTATCTATTTGGGGTATGCCAGCTTCCTGAGTCTTAAGATTTATATCTTTTGTCAATTTTTTTTTTTTTTTTGAGACAGAGCCTCAAGCTATCCCCCCTGGGTAGAGTGCCTGGCATCACAGCTCAGAGCAACAAATATATCATGAATTACAAGGATTCTAGTTAGTCTGATGTGAATAGGTCCTAAAAGTACCTTGCTGTGAATGCCAGGTACTTTTGCCCCTAATCCTTCCAGGTGGTTCTTTCTTTGGCCTTTGGTAATTTCCTTATAGGGACCTTCCTTAGTCTTTAAAGTTCTGTATGCAGCTCTCTTCTTTCCTCTTTGTAGCTCTTTATCTTCTACCTGCCTTGGTCTCTCTGAATCACTATTTTCTCAATCACTACACCACCCTAGGTTCCCTCTCTCTGCATTGTGGCTTGGAAACTTTCTTAAGGCACTAGGCTGGAATGATCCTAGGTCTTATTTCATTTGCTTCCTGTCTCTCAGGGAGCTTTGTTCTTTGCTACCTGATATCCAGTCTTGAAGCTGTTTTTCACATGTTTTGTCCAGTTTTTTGTTATTTCAGGTAAGAGAGTAAATCTGCTCCTTGTTATTCCAATCTAAGGTAGAATAGTGACTTGCTTCCAATGATTAGAATGTGGAGAAAATGACAGCATGTTACTTTTGGGACAAGACATAAAAGGCATTATGGCTCCCTCCTTGCTTTCCCTCTCTTTTGGATCAATTGCTATGGGAGAAGCCACTGCCATAGAATAAGGACATTAAAGCAGCCCTGTGGAGAGATCAAACTGCTAAGATAATAGATTTCCTGCTAGTGGCTATGCAAATATGCCATTTTGAAACTGGATCCTCAGCCTCAATCTAGCCTTTTGATGGCTACAACCCTGGCTGATTTTTTTTTTTTTTAAGAGACAGAGTTCTACCCTATGCCTTGAGCTGAGTGCAGTGGCATTGTAGCTCACTGCATCCTCAGAGTCGGGCTGTGGGCAATCTGCTGCCTCAGCCTCCAAAGCCACTGGGATTACAGGTGCTTGCCTCGGTGCCCAGCTGGATTTTTCAATTTTTTTCATGAGTTTCTCATTCTCACTCAGACAAGCCTCGAACTCCTGAACTCAAGCAATCCTCCAGCCTTAGCCTGCCACAGTGCTGGGATTACAGGCGTGAGCCACTGTGCCTGGCGATCCTGGTTGACATCTTGACCACAACTTCATGAGTTATTCTAAGCCTGAATTACCTACCACAGCTGCTTATGAATTCCTAACTTACAGTAACCATTGGATAACCAATGTTTATTTATTTAAGCCACTACATTTTAGGATAATTTGTTACATAGCAATGAACAACGAATAGAGGATCCAAATTCTATTCAACCTATAGAAAGGATCAGTTGAATTTCTTTTCTTTTCTTTTCTTTTTTTGAGACAGAGCCTCAAGCTGTCCCCCTGGGTAGAATGCTGTGGCATCACAGCTCACAGCAACCTCTAACTCCTGGGCTCAAGCGAGTCTCCTGCCTCAGCCTCCCAAGTAGCTGGGACCACAGGCGCCCGCCACAATGCCTGGCTATTTTTTGGTTGCAGCCGTCACTATTGTTTGGTGGGACTGGGCTGGATTTGAACCCGCCACCTTAGGTGTATGTGGCTGGCACCTTAGCCACTTGAGCCACAGGCGCCGAGCCAATCAGTTGAATTTCATAAGTAACTTTATCCATTCCCCATCTTGAACCCAGCCAAAGTAAAAAATCTCAGACAAAATCACAAGACTTAGCATGTAATTTATACTCAAAACTTTCCCTATATGATTCCTTTTGAGAAATAAATCCTTAGTTTTTGTGAGTTTAAGATTCCATCAAAGAAACCAGAGTATGTTATATTTTTATAATGTTCTAACCCAAGAAGCACAATGCAATGTATATTATTTTAATTCTTTATAGTATCAACAGAGATGTTGTCTTCACTTTCAACAGGGGAAACTAAAGCATTAATAAAAAGTGAATCGATTCTAGTGAGATATTACATTATTAATTTAGTAATGGATTTATGAAATTTCCCCTTTCAGAAATTTTAAGTAACAAGAGTTATATTATCCATTTAATAAGCTATATTAGCAGCAAGGTTGCCTCAATGTAGGTGATGCATAGAACCTCTGTAAGTCTTTCTCTTCCCTATAATTCTGAACTTTACATAAGAAAGAATGGAAAAAAACAGGGAGCTTTGTAAAAACATTGCCTCTAGCCCAGTATGGCTTCTAAAACCCTAGAGGGAGTTTCACCTGAGTCTTTTGTAGGCTATAGAGAAAATATTTTCATGTTTTTGCACAGTTAGGGTTTTCTAAGCAAAGAAAACTGGTACTTTGGTTAAGAACAAGTCTTGAAAGGATGACCTCTGAAGAGATTTAGAGATTTACTTTCTTACATGTTTACATTTCAAAGGGAGTGAAAATAGTTAGTTTACATTTCAAAGAACTATTGATGCCAAAGTTTTCCCGGCTTTTTCAGGAGTGTAGGGAGATAGTTTAGACCAGCAGTTCTCAACCTGTCACAACCCACAGGAACTGTATTAAAGGGCTGGGGCATTAGGAAGTTTGAGAAGGTTCCTAATACTGCAGCCCTTTAATACAGTTCCTGTGGGTCGCAACAGGTTGAGAACCTCTGGAGAGCCTATTTAACCTCCTAGATTAATAATTTTGGGGTTTCTCTTCTACAGCATAAACCCCCGCATAAGTAGGATGACATCTGGCTCTTGCAGTGTCACGTGTGGGATATTAGCTGTGGAGAACTAGTCCAGTTATTGCTGTAAATAATAATAACTGTGACCTCTGTTTTAGAATCCTTATACTGTATTTGCTTTCAGGATAAAATGAATAAATGTAGATATACTCACCACAAAAGGGAGGATGCACTCGTGCTGATTTTGCACCATGTATAAACTGAATAAAGACATACGGCTGGGGCCCACCAAGCTGCAGGCTAGAGAGAAAAAGTTCTGCAGTGCCTCACACAGGTTGGAGCAGATGTCAGCCCAGGATGGCAGAGCAATGTGCACAATGAGAAGCCGTGGAGGTTGCTGGGCAATGTGCATGGGAGTGGAGGGCCCTTTACCACTAGTTTTCCTAGGATGCATGGCAGCCAAACCAAAGGTAGAACTGCAGCTGCTACCTGGATATTTTCTACACCTGTAGGGAAGAAAAGAGAAACATCTGGCTTTCAAACTGAATTATGTGCTGTGTTGCAATACAGAATAGAGGTCGAGGGGACTCAGTCCAGAAAGGAGTCAGATTGGGTACTAAATCAAGTTTATCCAGGCTATCCCATGTTAACAGCTCCCAAAGGATCTAGGTATTTGCCTATAATGTAAACCTGATGGAAAAAAGAAGTCATACAAAAATAAATTTTACTATCAATGTAAGCTGTCTGCCTTGATCAACTTGTTTCTTTTCTTTCTTTCTTTTTTATTTTTTTTTTTTTTGAGACAGAGTCTCATTATGTCACTCTTGGTAGAGTGCGTGGCATCACAGCTCACAGCAACATCAAACTCTTGGGCTTAAGCGATTCTCTTGCCTCAGCCTCCCAAATAGCTGGGACTACAGGCACCCACACAACACTTGGCTATTTGGGGCTTTATTTTTTAAAAAGAGAAGTATCTGGCATATACTGAAAGACATAGTGAAAAGCACG